ATACTTTTAAATAATAAAAATAATCATAAGTTATAAAATTAAAACTTATTCATATCGCATTTTATCTTGTTTACAACAATTAACAAAATAATCTTACAATATATTTCAAGTAAGTATTTATAAAAATAAAATTTCATAATAATCCTGAAAAGTAAATAGAGATTAAATTAAACTTTAAATTTTTATAAAGAAAAAATGCTTATTTATTATTTTATAATATTATATTTATTTATAAAGTGCATTATTAAAAATCTCTTTATAATTAAATTTTTATAATTATTTAATTTTGCTTTTTCAAGAGTGATAATTATAAAGAAATTTGATATATATATATTTTAATACAAAAATATTAATATATAAAAATTATTATCTGATTTTTTTTACTAATAAAAAACTTTATAGTTAAGTTATATAAGTTTATAAATAATATAGAATAATTTCAAATTTTAAATCACTTATAAGTTTAATTAATTTTTCTTTTTTTATGAATAACTTGAATAAAGACTGAATTTTATTTACTAATAATAAATAAAAAATAATTTTTAATATTTATTAATACTTTATAAATATTTAATAATATTAAAAATAATATTAAAATATATTATTATATAAGCAAATTACTATAATTCTTAATATTAAAAAGATTATAATTCTAAAAAATTTCTAGCTTAAAAAATTTCTAATTAGTTAAAAAATAAACTTATATATAGTTTTATTATATTTACAAACACTTTTAGTACTTTATTTTCAATATATATATTATAATATAAACTTTAAAAAAAATAATTATAAACTTTTAAAATTATAATTACTTTATATATATATATATATTATTTATTAAAATATTATTATGATTATGATAAATATCAAAATATATTATATAAATTATTAGTAAATATTATTTTTTATAATTATTTTTATAATATTAGCTTGAAAATTTATAAGAAAAAAATTAAAGTTTTAATTAGTAAAAAGTTTTTTTTAGATAAATTATATTATTATTTATATTATATTATTATTATTATAGTAATATAAAATTCTCTAATTTTATAATCTTTTTTTGATTATGCAAAATTTTATTTTTCTATTATTTTATAATTTATTATATAATTACTTTTATTTTTATATAATTATACATATTTTCTTTATTATATTTATCTCTTATAATCATATTTTTATTTTAAATATTATATCTTATTCTCTTAATTTAAGATTTATATTTTTAATTTATATATTATATGTTTTTTATGTACAGAATAAAATAATATATTTAAAAATCTTTTTTTTTTAATTTTTAATGAAATAATAAAATAATAATATTTATACTATTAATTTTTTAAATATTAATATTTATAATATCTATATTTTAAATATTAATATTTGTAATATTAATATTTTAAATATCAATATTTATAATATCTATATTTTAAATATTAATATTTATAATATTAATATTTTAAATGTAATTATTTTTAATATTATATTAGTAGAATATAATACTTTATAATAATATATATATTTAGATAGTATTAATTAGTAATACTATAATAATTTATATATTCAAAAAATATATAAAAAGACCTGCTATCTCAGCTTGAAATAAACAATTTTGAATTGAATTATTTAATATAATTAAAAAGCTTATTATCATAATAATAGTAATTTTTTAAAGATTTCTTTTCTAATTATACTAATACTCTTTCTTTTACTTAATTTTATTTCTTTAATCATACAAAGTTAATTTTAATTTGGATTATAATATTATATTGATTTTTAAGTTTGATATTATTTTATATTTTAGAGAGTAAAAGATCTTTATTATAAATAAGTCATATTCTTTTTATTTTATTTATTTTATTATTTTGAGAATAGAAAATCTTCACTATAAATAAGTTATATCTTTTTAATTATTTTGTTTTTATTACTTTAATTTTATTTTATTTAGTTATAGTCTTCTTTAATTAATAATAGCTTTACTATTTAATTATTTAAGTCTTAAATTATATTAATTGATAAAGTGGAAATAACATAATTATGTTATTTCCACTTAGTTTAGGTTATGACCACTCAGGTAGGTGTCATGATTCGTTTTTTTCGACACACATCAAGGTGTCATGATTCGTTTTTTTCGACACATACCAACCATTATATATCAGGTTAATGATCTGGCCGATTTCCGTCATCAGGCCATATGTGATACATTGTATATCAAGTTGGTAATCCTGACCGATTTAAAAATGTAAGGTAATCACCGATTTAGGATATGACGATCCCTGCGCGACTACGCTGTATAATGTTCTGAAGCTTCTAGATTTTTAAATTCGATATCAGAATCGTATACCTGAATAGCTTTCATGGTTGATTTCCATTGTGAGGTGCTCTCCGATATAGGTTATGGTGGTCAATATGAGTACTCAGGTTATTCCCTATCAATTATATGCTATGGTAACAGAAATGTGATACCTTATATGCGAAATATCGTATACCTGAATAGTTATCTCGACCGATTTCCATTGTGAGGTGGTCTCCGATATAGGTTATGTGACGGGTTCGCCTTATCGCGAGTTTGACGGGTCGATTGCATTTTATACGTCGTTTGTGATTCAAGTGGCGAAAAAAAATAGTAACGAAACTCTTTCCCATGGTATACCTATATACTCATGATCCATATACCATACCTATATACTCATGATACATTCAAGATGGTGAACTTGGTCGATTTCCGTCGTCAGGTTGTATGTAATATAAAGTATATCAGTTTGACAATCGTGGTTGATTTCGATTATAAGATACTCTTTGATTCAGGTTATGACGCCCAGTTATTCTTATTGTGAGTTTAATGGGTCGAATCGTATTGACATTGTATTTGTTCTTTGTTCATTTTGTATAACCGAAAGTTGAGTACTTACAACGCAGTACAATGATATGCGAACAATATGTAAAAATATTGATATTGTATTCATTTTGTATAACTGAAAGTTGGGTACTTACAACATAGTACAAAAACCAGATTTTTTAACCAATATAAAAATAATACCATGTCTTTACTTTTCTTCATTAATTTCTATTTCTTTAACGGAACGGAAATTAATTCGTAATCATTTAACGCAAATAAATACAGAAAATTTGCTGTGTTACATCTCTCGTTATTGATTTTTTAAACTGAATTGAACCAATACAACCCTATCAAGCTCAAGCAAATAAAAAAGTAAGTTTTTATTTATTACATATTTATGTGTTTATTGTAGGAGCTTCTATTTTAAATAAAAGCATAATGTGTAGTTCGGAAAGGAGTTATGGTAGTTATAACAAGAGATGGTGTTACTTTAGATTTGGAGGAAGGTGTTGATTTTGGAGATGCACTTAGAAAGAAAGTAAATGAATTGGCTAGTGGCTGTGTATGTTCATCTGACATAATCGATCAAGAAGAATACTTGAAAAGGCTCTGCAACCATTTCGACGCATTCTTTCCATTATGTAGTATTCTTGTTACAAATCGAAATCATACAATTTCTGGTCAGTACAAACACTTCCGCTATGAACAACCAGTGTCTATATTTGGAAATACACGTAGAACAGACGTATATGTTATAGGAAGAGGGTACAACACTGTGTTTACTTTGTTAGGTGAAGGTGGCTATTGCCACTGGAGATTTAATGGCTGGTTTGAAAGAAATGACAAGACAGTTACTTTTGTATAGATTAAAATTTTTTATGTTTGTACGTAATTAGGTTTATCTTTTTATCAAATACGTAGCAGTAATAAATAAAAAAACTTTAGAGTTTTCTAATTGGTTATACATGTATTATTGAAACAAATGATATGGGAGTAACATCCAAACTTCATAAATGTTATCAAAAAATGTAATCAAATCAATTTCGTTCGTGTTAATAGCATGTTATATCGAAGTATGCTGAAATTTTTGTCACAAGTTGTCACTAGATGTCACTAGTTGTTTGCAGGTACTTGTGACAGAACTTGTGACGCCTGTTTGAGAGTTTCGAGCCTTTTCGTTTCTCTCTTGATTACTTCTCTATATCTGTCACAAGTTACTTAAGTAAAATAGTAGAATTCTAAGGGAAAAAATAAAACTCTTCCTATGGTATACCTTTGATATATACCCGATACATATATCCAGTACTAAGTACACACACATATACCTGACACATATATCTAGTACATATATGATATACTCAATACCTACGATACATATACATATATCTGATATATACCTACCTTTGATACATATACATATACCTGTTATATACCTACCTTCGATATATACATATACATATGGTATACCTATAGAAAAAAAATAAAAAAGGTAGGACTCAACAAATTAACCTAAGAAACTTGTGACACTTGTGACAGTTGGTCAGAACGGTTTTCTACAAGCTCAAATTCTCAAGAACCTATCTTTCTACTAATTTTTTTACTTATGACGAACTTATGACAACTTGTGACACTTTTTTGAGACCAGCAGGCACTATGTATTTTCTCCAACCACCTCTAATTTTTGGGCCAACTTTTCCAGCTTTTTCCGATAATAATAGGCTTTAACATGGCATTTATCCGCATGCAAATTACATAAGTTATACTCAGAAGCAGTCGGTTTACCACATTCTAAACAGGGGACGCGTTGACGCCTTTTCCAATGAATAGCACATCCTTCCTGCCGATAGCAGGGTCGTCTACAGACTTTTCCCTCATTGGAAAGATATTGACAAAGATAAATACCTGTCATTTTTAATTATATTTTTTGAAACTTGTTAGTAATACTACGTTAGGTAAAACTAATTAATTAATAATTTCAAATTAAACTTTTTTCTCAGGATAATATATCAGAATTTCAAAATATCCTAAGTTACCATGAGTACCCAAAGTGAACACAATACACCGATTCAATGCTCTGTATCATCCGATGCACCGAGCGAAATTCCAGCTTCCGAAAACTTGGAGAAATGTGAAGGCACTTACGCACCAGAGTGCCCAGAAAACTCGGAAGATTTCGAGCCAGAAGAAAATAACGGGGCATTCTACCGCCGGGGCGCCAAAGCCGAGAGTGTGACAGACTATTTGTATAAAATTCGTGATGACAGTGTGAGACCAATGCAATTTCTTGGTACAGATTCTGAGGATGGAATCGAAAAAATATTCGCAGACCGTCGGGGTCATTCACTACACGAATTTATTGATGGAGATGACCCTCTCCGTCCATTCATAGATTTCGATTTACCCCAAGAAAAACTAAATAAAATCGAACCTAAACTCACACGTAGAGAGGTGAAAGATATACTCGCTTGTGCCTTTAAAGAAGTATGTTTAGATATTTATCCAGAATGGGAGAAAACTACTTTAACGATAGCTGATAGTAGTGACCCAAAAAAAGTATCTCACCATATCTCAACTTCCGGACTTCGACTTCAAAACATTGCCAAAGTCGCTTCATTTGTCGAACTTCTCCGGAAAAGACTTCCAATAGATTTACAAACCAAAGGAATTGTTGATAACATCGCAAATAAAAGATCATTTTCCTTGCGAATGCTTGGAACACCAAAATACATCGAAGAAACTAGAAAGCATGTACGAGTAAAGAAAGCATTCTTTCCCAAGGATGGATCCATTTTCGACTTTATGCTCCGCCCGCCTAATGACGAGGCACCAGTTATAGATAGTCCTCTCTTAATTGTTCCAGAACCAGCATCGGACAGAATATATAACTCCCACAATAAAGCAACTGATACCACCGAGGTCGAACTTGAATTGCTGGATTCATTACTCAAAGAAGCTGATATCGAAGGATATGAGTTATTATCCCCAACAGATAAATTCCCAGATACATTCCCTCTCAAACGCATAAGCTCATCACACTGCCCATTATGTGAACGTGAATTTGGTAATAAAGAACCACATGATAGTGAAAATGCATATGTTATCCGGAATAAAAAATCATATAGTTTCTATTGTCATCGTGCAAATCAAAATAGGAAGCCTGGTACAAAAAAGCCTTCGTTAAAGCTTGTCATTAATGAATCAATCTTGGATCGGGAAAACAATCTTCCAATCCCGGAGAAATTAAACCGATCCAGAATTTCAAATCCAAATGATCATTTCATATGGGGTGACCTACTTCGTATGTGTATGTCTAAGAAAAAGTTTACACGTTGTGAGGTATATAGCGCGATTCAAGCGACAATAGCATGCGTTGAGCAGAGAAAACTAACCTGGATAGTTAAACTTAAAAATTCAGATGGTCTTTATTTTGATATGGGACGTGAACTAGAACTAGCAAAGCATATAATTAATATAATTGAGCATGGGGGAGAAGCGGTAAAATTACATTCCTTGATAGATAGAGCAGTTACAGAAAATTTAATACATTATGATGAAATCGATTTTCTTCCATACCCCCCAAATGTAATTACACCAAAGACGAATTTCTTTAATCTCTTCTTGGGATTTCTAGCTAAACCAGCAAAAGAGATTAATGTAAAAATTATGGATCCTATCCTCTGGCATGTGGAAAATGTGATCTGTGATGGGAATAAAGAGCTTAATAAATATCTATGGAACTGGTGGGCATTTTTAGTACAGAAACCAGAAAAGAAACCACGATCAATTCTGGTATTGAAATCCACTTTACAGCAATGTGGGAAAAATATTATTACTGATTTTATTGGTGATAAGGTATTGGGACCATCTCTTCATTACGCAACATCCGATCTAGGAAAAATTCTTGGAAAATTTAACAGCGTTATTCAAGGCAAAAAGCTTGTAGTTATGAATGAAACTAGTATGTCTAGTGGTGAGTGGCATAGGTTTAATGGTCACCTCAAAGCCCTTATAACAGAAGGAAGAGTAAGTATAGAACGCAAAGGTCTCGAAACTTTAAGAATAAATGATTTTAGTGGATTTATGGTTACAAGTAATCAGGACGCACCACTTAAAATAGAAGCAGGTGATGCTCGTATAGTTTGTTTTGACGTATCTGCACGATGTAGGGGTAATATAGCATATTTTGATAGACTAGGAGAAATTCTTGATCACCCCGATGCACCAGGAGTAGTTATGTCATATCTTCTTAGCCGTGATCTGTCAAAGTGGAGTCCGCAGAATTTCCCTATCACTAAAATGAAAACAGATACAATAATGAAACAACTCCCAAACCCTAGTCGCTTTATAATACAACATATTAGATCGTGGTCCGAAAATCAAATCGAAAAACCAATCTGTGGAAATTTATATCAAGATTATCTTACTTGGTGTGGGAGTGAAGGCGAGGATCGAATCAGTTACAATAAATTTGGAGGCTTTCTTCCGCCGATAGGAATTGAGAAAAAGCAAGTACGAATTAATGGAAAGAGAGAATGGTTATATATTCTTAATCGATCCAAAATCGTAGCTAAGATACGTGAATCGATAGGCGATATCGAGGAATTTTCTGACGTCCCTCAAACCGAGACATCCACCAACACTACCTCCAGAGATTTTCCTATATTCGACGTACCTGAAATTGTTACACCTCAACCAGAGAAAAATATAGCCGAGTCATCGACCACCGATCACATCAAAAAAGGTAAGGAAACATTTCCCGCTCCATCCACCACTAATATGACCCAGGATCTCTTCGATTCAATAATAGATCAACCGGAATTTTCAGTTGCTTCGTCATCCGGGTCTACCAATATATCCATGACTCCCGAGATCATACATGTAGAAGCTGTGGACGATGAACCTGAGATCATTGAATCAGTGAATGAAGAAGTTGATCCATCTTCCAATATACTTGTTGATGATGAACCCGAGATCTCTCCAGACCTAGCTGTAAACGACGAACCATCTCCCAAATCCAGCAATGAAGAAGCTACAACCCAATCGAAAACATACCCACCTGGATATTTGACTAGGGAGCAACGAGAGGTTCGATTAAGGCAATGGGCGATCGATCACGGTGAAGATCCCGACAAGTTCGTTACCATTACTGAAAAAGATGAAGATTTGGCGCGTATATACCATGATAGATTATGTTCGGACGCAGACATGATCCAATTCGCGAAAGATACCAATGATGATCCAAATACATTAATGGATATGTCTAGGCGAGAACGTTTAATAAGTGAAGAAATTACGCTTCGAATGTTTGAAGACGATGGTGAGTACCGGGTAAGTAGTTATGATGACGAGGAATGGAAAGAAAAAATAACCATACTCCAGGAAAATGGATATCTATGGTAAAATCACTATGTATATATTAGATGCAAAGCATCCTCACTTCGTGAGAGAAGTGGATAAGTAGATTTCGTAGGTAGGACGCTCCTACAAACTAGCTAACATAAAATTTTCCAATAAAAATATTATATAAACTGTCTTCTTTATGCGCTATATATATAGATACTGTAAACAAAATGAACGATCAAGAATTGGAAACCCCAGAAAAAGTGCTTAACCTATTAACTGATCGGATGATAAATCTAAATGGGCCAACATTCCGAAAACTAATCCGCAATGGATATAGATATGTCAATGAATTATCGAATTACTCAAAAATCTCTGAACATATTGATTACGATTACCCTGAACATACAAACTTTTTATTTAGTATATGGAAGCCAGCTATAATACCGCCACCTGATATTTTACAAAACAGACCAGATATATATCGCAAATATCTCATAAGTGTTGAGTTGTGCCAGAATCTATTTGGATATGTGCACTAAAAAAATGAATTATAACACCTTGATATATGATATAGCCCGAGTCACCACACTCAAAGCTATATGCACTGCGTACATGCGAAGCAAATTTTTTCGTTATATTCTATGTATTGGTAAATTTCAAATCGACGGATCTAATACGTACCTGGCATATATTGATTATTTTTTCGATGACCTCTTTAAGTAAAGTTATATCTTCTTTGATCCCATTGATATTCTCATTAATTTTATTTCGTAAAGCTATGGATTCCGTACCCGATCGATCTCGTGCCTTACTCATGTCCATTTTCCGATAAAATTATATTAACCACGACCCATTCAATTTTTGGGTATAGATATAGGTATACTAATCCACGGATAATTAATTTCGATTTGAAAAAATATATTCCATAGTGTATATAACCTAAAGAATTGTTCATAAACTATCTGACCTATTATAACATTCAATCATGTCAGCTATCACAACTAAAATCGTTGAAAAATACAATCTCACCCCCAAGATGAGTCCATCTGAACTTAGTCAATATACTTCTGAGTTTCTGGAAAATCTCACAGATGATAGGAAAAGGAATCAAGTGAGAAGACGTCTTCGGGATGGCTTTAAATTTAGCGATGAACAGGTAAGTATATTGATACCTAATCAGAGAAGTGGGAAAGGCAAGATTATAAATGTTATCGAGAGTAGTTGCAAAATAGCTATAGCTTCCCCCCCCAAAGATTTGGAAGAAGAAATCGTTAGAGAGATAGCAAAACGAATCTTGCAAAATAGATATGGGTTTAGTAAGAATCAAGTGAATGACTTATTCTCTATCCAGAAAAATGACCAATGTGAAAATACCTATTGTGAAAGTGCCTCTGGTAAAACCTTAAATATTGCAATTTCCAACAAACCCCCAAAAAGAATAGAGGAGACTATTGAAGAGATGGTGCAACGGATTTTACAGGATAAACTTACTATTAGAGATGTAAGAGCTGAAGCTTATGCCTTAGTTCTATCAGCAAAAAATGCTAATGCTGGTTCATCACGTCTTTTCTGGCTCCAAAGAGAACTAAGAAGTCTTGATGTATCACCTGAAATAATTGAGGCTTCAAAAATTACTAATATTACAAAAGAAGCTAATAAAATTCAAAGAGACCAGCAAAAAATTGCTGAAGAGACTCTTCGAATTAATTATCCTGATCATTTTACTTTGGAATCAGTCAAGAAAAAATTAGATGATTATGATATATCTATACAACCCAATTATCAAGTCCTTGCTGATGTTATAATAATACTTTGTATACATCCTGCTGAACTCATAACTTTACGTATTACAGATGCTGGTGTAACTGGTTATGTAAAGAATCAGGAATAACCAGATATTCCTCAAAAATTTAGATCATTAGAGAAGAACCAAGAACGAGCCAAGGAACTGCTTACTTAGATTCAGAATTCTATATTTTCTGGATGGATGGGAGATCCAGGTAAGCCAGGAACTAAATGGTTCAATAGATTCTTAAAAAATTATAATTTAATTCCTAAATATTTGCGTAAAATAGGAGCCGTTTATGATGCAGTAGTACATAAAGCTGAGAATCCAGCCCACACCTATACCATTGCTGAAGAATGCCTACGTCACAATCCTGACAACCATACTTCTCCAATACAGAATTATATTGTAGTAAATTATCAGAAAAAAGAACAGACTCCAGAGTAAGCAAGACCATTTCAAATCTATAATAATGATAACTAATCATGCTTCTTTGCTTTCACTACTTTCACAGTAAAATCTTTATCATCATTGCCAGAGGTAATCACTTCGTGACTAGATGATTTAGCGTCAGACCCAGATGAAGATGAGGATGAGGACTCAGATGCAGTATCATTTAAAATTTTCTTTTTTCTTTTAGCCTTACATAATGTACAATTTTTTTGAGAAATATCAGGATTTACTATTGAATTTATAATATCCTGCTGAATCTCAGGTTTCACTATCTCCAGTAATTGGCAGAGAGAAATCCAGATTTTTTTATCTGATACTTGCCTAACAATACTGGAAACTATAGTATTATTTATATCATTTATTTTCAAACCCATCTCCTTTGCTTTTTCACAGGTGATAACTGGATATTATCCACCTGAATCGAGTATACTTTCTATATCTTTGCCATTGATATTAATCACATGTGATTTTAATTGTCTTTGCGTAAGGTTGGTCAATTCTTCATCATAATTGATTTTAATAGCAGGGCTAGTGCCTTGGTACATATTTTTTGATTTATCTCTGCTATTGTTATTATTCTCAGTCATTGTAAATGTTAAATTATTATTAATACGAAGTAAAAAATACATTATATATATATATTTATGAAAATAAACAATGCGAGAATCATATCTGAGCTCTCCAGTTTCAGAACCTGAAAAAACTAAAGATATTCCATCACCTATACAACTTGATAAGTCTGTGAGTGGATACTTCAAATGAATAAAATTATCACTGGAGTTAGGTGTGGATAATGAAAAGATTAAAGAAAATTTTATTAATGATTTATCATCGGAGAATCAAATAAATATGATCCGATTTGGGATTAAGGAGCCTATAAATAATATAAGTGAGCATTTAAAATTTATCTCAACTAGGCCTACCGATATTCAAAAATTCCAATTTGGGAAATTGGATCAAGGAAATAAATCAGTAATAGAATATTTTGTAAAAATAGAAAAATGTGATAAATTAGCCAGATACAATGAAGAACAGCTTAGATATTTCTTTCTTTGTGGATTATCACCTGAAAGTCAATTGGAAGTCAGAAGATGTGGAACAGACTTGTCATTAGATGAGCTGGTTGCAAAATTAAGCGCAGTTGAGAATATCCGGAAAATAAATAATATATATACCTAAATTAATTATCTGAACATTAGTTATTTCCGACAAATACTAATTAGCAATACCTAATTTACTTAATCTTCTTCCATCAGAATTAATACCATTCATAACGAAGTATCTTCTGATCCAAAATCTTAAAAATTGCTGTAATTTAGATGATATATGGAAAGCTGAAGCAATTAGAGAAATTTGCAAAAGATTAATAATGGACTGTATATTCGTTAATAAAAATACAACTGTTAAAGTGCTAATTGACCCTAAGTCCCAGCATGGTAGTATTAGTAAAACACTTGCCAAAAAAATGGATTTATATATTTCTAGAGAATATGGATCAAGATATCCTGCAGTAATAGATCTTGATATTGATGCAATAAATGCTGGCAAGAAAGTGATGAAAAGGGGTTGGATTGACAGAGAAAAAGTTTCCGTTACTTTGCCAAATATCTTTATGATATAGTACCCCTTCATATTTGGGAATAGATATAGCAAATTTTGTAGTTGTTGACAAGCCTGAATATGATTTGGTTTTAGAACATGTATGATTAATGCATACAGGATATCGAGTTAACAGGTATAAAAAACTATCACTATATATTAATAGATCTAAAGATATCAAAGAACAAGAATTAAAAAAAAGCTAATATCGCGCAAGAAATAGTATTTGGAAATTATCTCTTTCATTGCATACATTCTATGAGCTATTATTCCCTAAATTTATTATAATAAAGTCAGATAGAGAAGCTATAATAACTAAATTTTCCAAATATAAACGTGACTTCAATGGTCTAAACAAATATTATGATTCAGAATACTCTAAAATGGAGTCTGAATCTAGCGATTCTGAGACTGAATTTAGCGATTCCGAAGTGGATGTACCTCTTCTTGTTATAATTAGGATGATACAAGATAATAACAGAGCTAGTGTCAAGATACATAATACTGATTTTATTTTTGTATTCAATAATTATATCAAAGAGATTGGCAGGATTAATCTTAATTTACCATGGTATACAAATAATTTTATTTAGTATCAAAGAATGGGTAATTATTTATTAAGTTATTTTTCGGTTATAATATATACCATTAAATAATTTTTAACATGCTTTTTATCAATATACTCATAGAGGGTAAAATCCCAGTAAAAGTATTAATCGATATAATGTCTAAATCCAATATTATTAGCAAGCACTTGTATAATAAGCTTGAAGAAGATTATGGATTAGAAGATATATCCGGTGATGATTTGATAGGTAAAGAAATAAAATACAATTTCAGTATAAAGGAAAGTGGTGAAGCTTAGATGGTACCAAAGTAATAGATTTTCAAATTTGCAAAAATCTATCATTTGGTTTGGTACTAGGATGGAATTGGTTATGGATATACGAAGTAAAAATTAGCTTTGGATTTTCTCTGGAAAATTATAAGCACTATGCTAAAATTGAGATAGATGGTATAAGTATCCCATTAATCGAAAAAGATAGCAGACCTAGAGATGAGAGCTGCAACTAGCCGCAACTCTGTCGCAATTCTCTGATTGGCTGCCACAACTTTGTCGCAATTCTCTGATTGACTACCACAAGCTGCAATTAGTTAAGGAGCTATCTTTAAGCAGACCTACAGGTGACTCTTCAAGCCATAAAGCCAGCTTCACTAAAAATAACTTATCTATTGCAAAGCAGGCCATTAGGCGATTCTCTGAATCATGGGACTTTGTCCCTAAATCAACAGAATCTAAACCTGGTCTAGTTCAAGAGGAGGTTATAAATATAATTAACAAAATTCTCTTAAATATCGAAGATAGACTTGAAGGATCATTGTTTTGTAATAATAAGCAACGAAAGAAATGTCATGAAATATTTCACAACAAATCTGAGACAGAGACTAATTCAGCTAGCTCTGATTCAGAATCCACGGGTTCAGATTGATATGATCTCGATCCAATAAAATTCTGAAAGAATCGTATTCATATTAAAAAGAAAAAGTTTGACTCTCCTATCCGAAAACATCGTAAAAAAAAGCGTGTCAACTGTGTCCACATTTCAGAGTAGTGATTCCTCCAATCAGAATACTTAAAAAACTGTTAACGGTCGGAAATTTATCAACCAATCACATCATGGATAGGATCAGCATAGAAGTTCGTGAAACATGCCAAGAAAAAAATAATTATGATTGATATGTTTACAATATATGCGAAAATCTTTATTAATCCAGATAACCAGGCCCTTTGGGCGCCTCTTTGAGGCA